ATAATCATCTTAGACTAAATCAACAACATAGCCTAGGACTCTCCACAGTGATAGGACTGTTCTCCACCCTCATTGTCCACTATAGAAGTTGCTAATCATACCAGTGGCCACTTGACATAATGGAAGAAGTTCTTTTCCTCAATAGTTTTTAATTAGCTTACATTTAATATTCACAATAGGTGCTGGAAAGACGACTCAGTGGTTAAAAGCACTGGCTGCTCTTTTAGAGGACCAGGGCTCGGTTCCCAGCACCTATATGGCAGCTAACAACCATCTATAACTCCAGCTCCAGGGGATCCAGCGCTCCCTTCTGGCCCCAATGGGCATTGCATGCACAGGATGCACTTACAGAGATGCAGGCAAAACACCCATATACATAAAATAAGAATAAAAATGAATAAATAAATAAAAATAAAAGTTTTTGGAAACCCTGTTTGACAGTACACATCTAGAGAGGTGCATTGGTGTTTCTAATTTTCAATAATTTCAAAATACGGTTGGCATCTTGTTTGGCTGCATCACATTGTTTTCTGTTTCTGCTTTATGTTTTAAAATATTTTCTGATTCTCAATAATGATGAATTTTGCAGTATTTCCTATATAAATGGGAGTTATCATCAATTATTGAGAGGTGAGGCCTACAGGTGAAAAATGACCACAAAGAAGGCAAAAACAGAAAATAAAAGGGTTTTAGGGGAAGGAATGAGAAACCAGAGGGAAAGAAAAACAACATCAAAGATTGCTTAGGTACAGGGTAAATACTAAAGAAATCAGTTAAGTGGAAATCGTATTTAAAATTGGAAGGCATGCTGGACTCTCTTTATGTAGAATGTCTTAATGGGACATGCTGTTGATTATAATAACTTCATATCTAACAAGCTGGTGGCTTCAAATCATGCTTTATTAACTGTTTAACCTAAACAATTACTTTTACATAAGCCTCAATTTCCTTATTTGTAGGTCAGTGACAGTAGTAATATATGCCTCTTAAATGCATATATCTTACCCCATTTTTTCCCTAAAGGAAGAATGAAGAGTCAGATAATACTCAGGAAGTATTTAGCCCAGTATCTGGCACATAATAACTTGCTTTGGTGATAGAAAAATTATCCATTACTAACAAATGTAGTAAGTGAATAAATGAATCAGATATGATTTAAAACTAGACATATGTCTAATCTGAATCTAAAGAAGGCTTAGCAGAAAACAGAATGGCAGATGGCATTTGCCATGCACTTAATAAAGGAAATGAGTTGCCCGTAATCGAAAAACAGTAGTGTCTGAGATCATAGGATCATATCACAAGATCAGCTTATTATGGATCAGTATTTTATATGTGTGGTTTTTATATTTTCTTTCTTCCTTCCTTTCTTCCTTCTTTTTTTCTCTTCTTTCTTTCTTTCTTTCTTTCTTTCTTTCTTTCTTCTTTTTTTCTTTCTTTCACTTAAGGCCTCATACATGCTGGGCAAGCACTCTATTACTGAGCTATATTCTTAGCACCTGCATGTATTTTAAAGGCATGTATAACCTGTAAAAGTACATTAGTTTATGCTTTTCCATACAATCCTTCTAAATTACATTGCATGCAAGGAACCCAATATTAGGATATATTTCAGATGATATTATGTGGCAATGGCTATCTATTGTGCTTAAATAATTACATAAATTGTAGTATGTAAAATATTCTTTTTAGTGGCTGGAGAGATGGCTTGGCAGTTAACAGAACTAGAGTTTGGTGCCCGGCACCCACATGGCAGATAACTGTCCATAACTCCAGTTACATGGTATTTAATGCCCTCTTCTGGCCTCCACAGGCATTACACACATGTTGTATACTTACATGCATGCAGGCAGAAATACTCATACACATAAAAATAAATAAATCAAAAAAATTAAAAAATATTCTCTTCACAAAAATGTTCATTTCATCAAAAATTTTCAGAGGCATATTTTAGGGATTTATGGAAAACAGTTAATATCTGAGGAGTATATGGTATATGAGGAGTAAACCAGCGTGGGATGGGGGAAAGCATTATGATTTAGAAAGAAGATAGGTAAAATTATGGCAATATCAGTAATTTATTTAATTTGGATATTTCATTGCAAACCTGAATGCTTTTAAGTTATTTATGTACTGATAGGTGTTATAAGTAATTTTTGGAGACAGATTCTTGCTCTATTGCACAGGCTTATCTTATACTCACAGCCTCCCACATAGCCTGGATTATAAGCTGCACCAATATGCTTAGGTGGTTTTCTAAGTTATTATTGAGTATCTCTTATATCTTTACTTTTAAATTAACTTTAATCATTAGACTCCTGAACACATAATTTATCTCCTTGTGGTGCTTAGAGAAGTTTATTCTGTCCTTGAACCAGACCATTTGAAGCTCACACCAAAATATTTATTATTTTTGGGTTTTGGACAATTTGCTTGAGAATAAATACAATTTACTTAAGTACCTTTGACTATAATATGGAAATTATAATAATTCTTTTTAAAGTTTAGCCTAAGGTTTAAGTCAAACAATATGAGAAGTTAGATGCTTAGCATGTACTGAAAGACCAGTGAGTGGTAGCTATGATTTCAATGAAGAGAAACCAAATAACCTCTGTCAAAATAAAGAAATAAAAATATAGTTTAAAATAGGACTGAGCTGTGTTTACTGTATTTAATGACAACATAATCATGAAAATATCCTTGTGTTGCTCTGGTTTATTACAGATTTGATTGGTTCTAATCTAAAACATTTTTATTATTCTTATTTTATTATATATTTATTTTTATCATTTATTATTTTATTAGCAAGAGTTAGTTATATAAAATGATGGGTTTCATTGTGGCATTTTTATATGTATATAATATAATTTGATTATATTTACACATTTGCCCCTTACCTTCTCTTGTCCCTTCCCATTCTGGCTGACCCCTCCCTCTTCTTAGCTAGTCCCCTTCTTTTTCCCATGCTTTGTTCACCCGATGAGTTTCATTAGGGCTGTTTGTAGGAGTGTGGGCAAGTTAACTTACCAGTGACTACAACACTGAAGAAAATGGATCTTCCCCAGCAACTATTAACTGCCCAAAGGACACCCACCGCACCCCCGGGCCTTTCCAAATCTAATAATAATTCCTGCTATGTTCATAGCCCTGATGCTACTTTCTAGGGATATTTAAAAAACCAGTAAACACATTTATTTAACTCCACCTATAAAAGTTACAGGGGAAAAAAAAAAGCTTTGCAAAGAAAAACAAAGGAAAAAACAAATTTGTTTATTCCCAACCAAGCATTGGAGATGCTTTGGACAACTAGGGTCATGGACAAATAACACGCTGAAACTGAGAATTTTTGAAAAGTACAATGGACTCTGAAAAAGTAAAATGGACTTGGAACACTGGACACAGAAGGACAAATTTCCAGTTTCACAGGAAAAAATGATGAACGAAAAGAGTGGGCGATAGGAAAACATAATATAAAATTGATCCATTAAAAGGATCTCTCCTTACAATCTATCTTCCTTCCCTAGATGCCCCACAGCCTCACAGACCTATCAGCAGGGCTTTTCCTTCCTTCCTTCTCTCTTTCCCTCACTGTCTTATCCCTTCCTTCCTTGATTCCTTCCTTCCCTCTTTCCCCTCTTCTTTCCTTTCTTCCTCTCTATTTGCTTCTCTCTCCCCTCTTCCCTCCCTCCCTTCTCTTCCTTCCCTCCTTTTTTTCCTTCCCTTCCTCCCTCCCTCTTTCTCTCTCTCTCTCTCTGGTTTTCTTCCTCCCTCTCTCTTCCCCTCGCTCAGCTCATCTCTCCCTTCCATCCTCTCTTCCCCCTTCTCTCCCTCCACCTCTACCCTCATCCCATCTTTCCCTCTTTCTTTTCTCTGCAATTGCCTGTAACAATTCTGGGGGATGAAGAAGAGGTGCATTTGAAGGTGCTGCAACTATTCCTCAAAATCCATCAGAAAGAAAGCAACCTGTTTCCTAACATATTCTGAGCATCTGCCTCAAGTTGAAAAGGAGAAACTTTTGGAAAAAAAGAAGTCTGAGGAATGATCTCAACAAAATACGATACTCAGGGCTGGGATCCCCCTCCACCCTGTGCAAGTGCTTCAAAATGGGTCCCTCTTTGCCCTGTGCAAGCACTTCTAGTCTCCCTTCAGACTTTGGAATGCTGTTGTTGTGTGCAGAAGAAATGAACTGGAGAAGAGATACAGTTCTTATTTATTAATTAAAATAGCTCAGGAACTTCCAGTGTATGTACATTGAAATGCATATATATATATTTCTGTGTATGTACTAAGTGACTAGACCAGGGTCTATTTGCTTGTCAGGGACAAGCAATGGATTATGAGTATCTCTTAGATATTTTAAGAGAAAGCATCACCATTTACATCAGAAAAGATATTTTAAAAATTATATTTCAGATACATTACTGGTGTTTTGGGAGTTGCTCAACTTCTGAGTAAAACTACCTGTTCTGAATCCATTGGGTAGGGCAATTTTCTGACCTGAAAATCTGTATTCTTTGGTTTTGCTGGTTTGTTTAATCTCACCCTTCAAGGCCACACCCTTTTCTTACCTGACCTCTTTTTACCTGGACTGGACTAGCCTGGGCTCTGTTCCCTGACTCCCTCCCTCCCCCTCACTATCTAAAACCCAGGGAACCAGTCAGTGTTCATCCCTGAATTTCTTCAGCAGACAAAGTGCAGATTAGGAGCTGGGGTGCATTTGCAGAGAGGCTGCTCTCTCCTTTCTTATTCTGCTTCCCCTTCCTCTTTTCCTAAATAGATCTGTAAACACATATATTTTCCTGTTTAAACGGGCGAATTGGTGCCCTGACTGTGCCTTGACTTAGCTATTGGGCTGAGTCTTGCTCCTCCCTTCCCTACTCCGATTGGAGCCACTAGGATCTGGAGCTCTCGGGCTTCCAAATTGAAGCTGGCCTCGGGCCAGGTGACCTTTTCTTTGTAAGTTTCTTTCTTAAGTGGGGGGGGGGCACTGGAGAGGGGAGCTGGGATCTGTTGGGTGTTGTTGTGGGGGGAGTGAGGAAAGGAAGGGGCTGGAAGAGAGTAAAGGGCTGTTGTTAAACAGTTTCTTACCGTAAGAGGGAGTTCAGACCTAGATCTTTCCAGTTAATCACACAACAAACTTAGCTCATCGCAATAAAAAGCAGCTCAGAAGGCTCTTTTAGGCACTGACTCGCAACAGGAATCTTTCAGCCCGGCATCCTGTGCAAAGGGATAGGCGAGCGCGTCCCGCAAGCATGATGTGGGGGACCAAACTTCTGCCGGTCTTGCTGCTGCAGCACGTCCTTCTGCACCTCCTCCTGCTTCCCGTTGCCATCCCTTATGCAGGTAAGTTTTCTTGTAGTGATTGCTTTCTCTCTTCCTTCCTTGCGAACCTTGCCCTTGCCTTCTAACAAGCTCTTTTTGCCCTAGTCTCAGTATCCTTGCTTAACTTCATGTGTGGTATAGGGCTTTCAATCCTCTTACTATGCTTTTTTTTTTTCTTTTTTTTTTTTTTTTTTTTTTTTTTTTTTTTTTTTTTGACATTCCTTTGCTGTTTGAAAACCTTTAAAATGGTAATTAGCATCCTCTCAGTGACAGCCCTCCAGTCCCCGTCCCCAGCCCCAGCCTCGTTTAGCCAAATAATCCTGAACTTTGAGATAGGAATGAAGGGCTAGCACTGATTGGAACTTTGCTGATTTGGTCAAGTTTAAAAATGAAGACAGATTCTGCTTTAAAGAGGGGAAAACATGGCAATACAACCAGCGACTCATCATTTCCCAAGGGACAATCTTCTGTAAGCTCCCCAGCCTCACGTCATTCAGTCAAGCATCAGATCCAAATTATGAGGTTTCCAGGTTTCATTCAGTGGCGGTAGAGTAAGCTCTGAGTGCATGCATGTTATAAAAATGAAAGAGAAAGCTTTGTCTTCTTAGCTCTTCTTTCTGGGCATGGGTGACTGCCCAGGAAACTGCAGCACAGGGAGGAACAGTACCGTGTCTTGGGTGGACACTGGAATTGTCCCTCTGTCTTCCCTTGATTTGCAGGTTGAGGAAGAGACAGTTGGACAAGTGCAGATTGCCTGGATGTTTTGAGGTCTCATTTGCTGCTTTAGAAAGGTTTCTCTTATTATCAAAACTAGAGGAAACATCTGTATTTAGTTGTACTATTATTGTAGTGTCTGGGCTGGGGTGCCAACAGGAGAAGGCAGTGAACGTCAAGGGTAGACACAGGGGAATAAACGACTGTAATAAATGCCCAGATGGCAGACATGACCTTTTTAAAACAAGAAAACAGAGAAAGGGCTGCATCATTTGAGATAAGTTAACTATGAAATTTATCACACCTCAGATCTTTTGTCTGACTAGTACTAGGGTTGAAAACATCAAGAAGGAAAACATGTTTAACCTACCTGGCTTTCTCCTGTGCTGGAAGTATCCCCTTTTGGAAAAAAAAGACACTTTGGAAAGGGTGCTTTGAAAGTGTGTAGATAAGATTTCTGAGGAGATGGAAAAGAAGTTAATTTAAAGATGTGCTGTATTAAAATGAGTTCTTTAAGATACTGCTAGTTTAGGGGATTTTGAGCCTAAGTTGAAATCATGGCTCACAATTTGCTGATCTTCCGTTTTGAAGATTAAGATGTGGCTGTCTTAAAGTATTGTTACCTGAAATCATCTAAGTTGATGCAAGGAGAGCTCGGTTTGGAAAACTGAAACAGTAGATCGACCATAGACATTGTCTATTTGTTTTTTGGCATGCATTATGAAGGTTTGGCAGGAGACATACATTTGTAATTATATTTCACTTTGGCTAATGTTGAAATGACTGTGTTTCCTGAGTATAGGGAGAGCAGCCTGAGAGTGTGCTGGCAGGCAAAGAGAGGCCTGTTGGGAAGTACAGATATCTTATGAATAATTCCTGAAGTGGATAATTGTCATCAAAAGAAGGCCCACCTTTGTTGGGGTGGCCTCTTGATTTTGATACTTCTGTTCTTTTAAATAACCCCCACAGTGGAAACAGATAGTTACTTAGAATATATAACGAGAGTTTGTTCTTTTACCTATCTACTATTGAACATTTAGAAGTTTTATTGTTGTTGTTGCTTGCTTGGCTATCTTTTAGAAATTGCTGGATTCTATAACATGCTGACAGGCAGTTATGAATAGAAGGCAGTACATAGATACTATTAAAAAGTTTCTTGAGAAACATTTGCTATGTATGATCAGAGCCATTCTGATAGGAGCTGGTCTACATAGCATAAAAGTCCATTCCCTCATATGCAACATTAGAAACAAATATTGAATCCTCTGTTTCTAAAAAAGCATTAAATGAGTATCTGATGCCCAAGAGTCTTGGTGAATACAAAGATGAACAAATAGAAGAGGAACCTATATTTGCTGATCAACTGCTAAGAATGAGTTATAAATTAAAACTTATTCTGATAAGATCTGCATTCTTGGATTTATTTATATGTGAAAACTGAGGGCTGCACATCTTAGTTACCCTTTTTAATTAAGGAACAGAGCTGAAATTCCTAAGTTCTAAGTAAATGAAATGTGTAATTCTTTTTCTTCTTATACTGAAGCCATGAACAGCTAAATCAACTGAAATGAGCTTTTTAAAAACCATTAAGTGATAAAAAATAGCCAATAGTAACAAAAACAAAACAAAATTTTCTCTAATTTAGTCTTCAAGTTAGGCATTAAGAGGTATGTGGTACCCAAGTCAGGTATGAAATGATGAGTGGTAGCATGATTGATACCCAAGTAGGAGAATCCAAGTTTCCTGAACTGCAGAGACAAAACGAATCAGTGATGCTCTAGAAAGATCTATGCACAGCAAGTGAAGGTCACTTTTGGGGGCAACTGCACTGTGTCCCTGAACTGGAGGGCTTATAGCCTGTGATTGGAAATTAAGATGGGAAAGGATAGGTAGCCTTGAATGTCATACACAAGGAACTGATTTCTGTAGTGACTGTTGTAGGCAATGCAAGTATTTTGCACAAACACGACATATGTAGTTTTACTTAAATGTGGTTACTGTACTTGCTGTGTAGAGGGAGAGTTGAAGGCAGATTAAGACAGAGGATGCAGAGGCCAGGATGAGGCTTCTACAAGTGAATTCCTGAGGAGGAACAAGAAGGAGACTCCTAACCTCACAGTGATCACTTTATTTTCTAAATCTCCTGGGAAGCGATTATGATGTTGCTTCCCAGCTACCAGCTTTTGATCTAAATCAATCATAGTGTCTTCCTTTTTGATGTCTTTATTTGGTAAGCAGTTACCTTCTCTGAAAAAAAACGAGGATGCTTGAATGTCAGAGTGAAATCTGAGTCCTATGTATGTATTGGCAATGGAAAATGGTACTTTTTTTTGTGATCCTTGTCCTTGAGGAGTTAAAAATCTCCAGTCAGAACCATTCCCTTCCATTAATTACTTTTAGTCTTTCATCCTAACATCTTGCCAGTTCAAACTGTTAATCACTAATCATATGGGTAGTTTTTTTCAGTTATGGGGGAGCCAGATTCCTGCTTCTTTCCACACCCTGCAAATCCTCTCTTTGCATGACTTTCCTTTGAAGTCAATGGTTCTTCCACACAGAAGAAAATATATGAGGTATTGAGAGAAATAAATGTGAGGCCCAGGGACCAGGAGAAATGTGTCTTTCTTCAAGCCTTGAGATGCTTGACCCCGCTTTCTATTTGTAGGTTTCACTAGGTTCTAATGATTTCAACTCTAAAATCGGAACCTGAGGTTTTTCAAGAAATGTACCTTCCTGAATATTTTTTCCCATACTGGGAGAAGTGAAAGGAGCTTGTAATTTGAAACACAGGAAAAAACAACAAATTTGCAGTGCACTCTCAGCCTTTAATTTTATTTCAGTTGTTTGTTTATAAACTTCAACTAACAGCCACATTAAAAAAAATAGTAGAGAAAAATCTGATCCAAAGATATTTTTGAGTTCCTTCCCAAATTAATCTTGGCTTTTAACTGTTTTCAGTAAAGTAATATCACTTGTTAATACATATGAAGAGAAAGTTTAATCTAGTTTCAGCAAAAGGATTTTGTTTCCAGATGCTGTTTTTGAATGTCTTCTGTTTTATTTACTATTTCTTATTGAATAAGTAATTAGTTTTATAGAGTCATGAATTACACGGCATATAAGTAGTTTGAATTTCATGTTTTTGAATAACTAGTTACTGATCTGGAATAAATGACTGAGTTGAGAGGGAAAGTTCATAGGTCGCATGCAGAGGGAATCTTGGTCTCTGGTTCTGATTGGTCCTTATTAGTGCCGGAGCTCTGGTGCTTCTATTTACTAGCTAATAAAGGAAGATTATAGCTTTAATTATTTTCAAAATGGTTTTTCAGCTTTAGTGATGAAAAACTTACTAGCAAACAAGAGTAGTTATTTTATGAGACACAACCACAAATTAACACATTTCAGCAAGACAGCTGAGGATCTGTAGAACTAATCACAGCTGATAACTGCAGGCACCTCCTTTCTCCAGAACAGTCTCCACTATTTATTTTCATGGCCTGTGGTTTTAAGACAAGAAATCAGAATGTCGACCAGAGGTTTTATATTGAATAATGATTACTAAATTCATTCCTTAAAGCTTGTCACGGATTTTTTGAAGTTATTTTTATGCTCTTCTCTCACCCTTAGACATATATAAAAATATATTATGCAGCTGGCCAAATCCATAGTTTTTATTTTTAAGATATTTTAGTTATTGTATTATGTGTATGAATGTATTGCCCACATGTAGGTAAGTGTACCTGAGTCATGCAATGCCCGAAGAGGTCAGAAGAGGGCATTGGATCCCCTGGAACTGTAGTTATGAATGGTTGTTAGCTGCCATGTGGGTTCTGGGAATCGAACTCAGTTCCTCTGCAAGAACAGCCAGTGCTCTGAACCGCTGAGCCATCCCTTTAGCCTCCAAATCTACATTTTTAGTTGTTGGAATTCACTTGAGAAATAACTATATGGATATACATATTCAACTTTTGTCAGAAAGTTTTTCAAATAACTTTTTCTCTATATAGACCATTAAATATATTGAATAATTAAATTTATAAAAGCATCAAATTATCATGAGGTGAAATATTTAGGAGCACCAAATAAATAGTTAAATAAAAAAGTGAAAATCCTCATGATAAATCTTATCTTTCATTAGTATAACAAGGATCTGTGACAGAAATACCAATTAACAAAGCATTACGGTTTCTGTGTTTGTAAGAATACCAGTTATGTGAAAAATTAAATGATGGAATATCAAAAACAAAACTAAAGCGCTACATATTCAAAACATTTTTATCCAAGTTCTGTCCCATGTATTTACTTAATGATTATAGTCACAATAGCTCATTTCATTTGTCATCAATTTAACCTTCTTTTGTAGATTGAATAATTAGCACATTAACATATCAGGTAACTAAATAAAGCCATTTGTCAAGTCGATAAAAATGCCAGAATGATCTGCTGGCCAATGTTATATACTGATTACACAACACATTGAGAGATTATTTGATTATTGAATTCTGTGTGAAGGTATCTTTTAAAGTATATCTACTACATCCTAGTTATTCCATCTTATAGGCCAAAGAAATGTTCAAGGCATGATTAGAGGAATTAGTACCAGTCCATTGGAGATTGTGTTTTGGAGTTTTACAAAGAACTAGAAACTTAGAGGACTACGGTTTTTGTTTTTTTCTTATTTATTGTGAGCTTCAGGTTAGAATAGACATTAAGGGACAGCATCTGCATGTTTAGTAAACCAACTGGAGCCAGTGGTTGCTGGCAAGTGGGGTATGATGCCATTCTTTCTGCTCAGCTAGCCATATTTCCAAGTTTTCTGCACAGAAAACTTCACCCACTTTTCTTGACACATTTCATCGCATTTAAAAACCAGGAATGCATTTCCTGCTGCACCATCCAAGTTTCTTTTCAAACGATAGCTCTGAACCAAATCTTCATAAAATGTTTATAAATCATACTTCCACATGCATTCTTAGCAATTCTTAGATAAAAGATGGCAATGTAAGTGGTTCAGAGTGGGACTCTGAGGCTGGGCCTCTGGCTTTCCAATCTGAGTTCTTCTAAGTGGTCAGTTAGTTTTTCTTATGTCTTGCTTTCTTCAAGTTAAAATGGATGAATGAAATTGCTATTTTTATTTTTTAAAATATTTTATTTATTATTTTTATTTTATGTGTATGAGTGTATTATCTGCATTTAGGTAAGTGCACCTATGCAGTGGCTGCAGAGGTCAAAAGAAGGTGTCAGATCCCCTGGAACTGAAGCTACAGATAGTTATTAGTTGCTGGGAATCAAACCCATGTCCTCTACAAGAGCAATCAGTGCTCTTTACCACTGAATCATCTCTCTGGCCTCTAAACTGATATTTTGTAAGGGTCTTCAGACACAATGACAACAAGAGCACAATAACTCTCATAGTTATTGTCTCATAGCTGCAATCGATTAGACACTTTGGCCCATATTGTGAAGACCAGGATCAGTATTAGATTGGGGTACTTTAGAAAAACTGAGAATAAAGGACCAAGTTCTTGGTACTTTCAAGCTATCTATAAATCCAGGACTTTTAGGATGTTTTGGTTCTGTTTCTCAGGTTTTTATTAGGAGATTTCATGCTATCTCGGGGCCTTGTACCTTCATGAAGACAAATGATATTGCTACATTAAAGGATAAAGTTTTACATACATTTGATTTACAACATTTGGCTTGATCTCAAGACAAATAGCTTAGTGATACTGAGAA